ATAAATGAACAAGTGTGGAATAAAAGATTCTTTGGTCTATAGTAATTTGGAAACCACGGGCAAGCATAGGAGGTGATGTCAAAAAATGTATGGCCACCCAAAACAGGAGGCAATACCAGAAAAACACTCCACAGAAACATGCTAGCAAAATTAAGAATGTTATGGATAATAGTTATGTATTGTTAAAAAATTATCAGAAGAGATTTTGAATACTTTCCCCATAAGGAAATAATAAGTATTTGAGACGGGATATGCTTACCCTGATTTGAAGATTACACAATTTATTCATGGACCAACATATTACATGTAAGACATTTCTCAGGTGTGTACAGTTTCTGTTTTATATATCAGTAAAATATAGTTGTTTTACAAGAATTTTAAAAGATAAAGAAAAATGTTGGTGAAAGATTATATTTTTTAAATTCTTTAATTTTACCAATGACAATGCTGTAAAATTTTTCCAAGCCAAAGAGAGCAAGAAGGCAAAGCATTCAGCATAATGACTATTAGTTGTATTATATAGTATCTGTGGAAATTGTCAAGTAAGTATAACTTGAGTACTTTAATAATAAAATAAAATAAAATATGTAGAATAATATATAGACTAATTACCTAGAATTATCCATTCCAAATATACACATACCTTAAAACAATATGCTGTGCACAATAAATATAAGTAATTTTATTTGCCAATTAAAAAAATGAGAAGTAACAATGAAATGTGATCATCAACTCTTGATTGAATTGATTACTGGAGGGATAACGCTATAAAGGATATTATTGAACAACAAAACTTAAATAGGGACACAGATTAGAGAAAAGGAACTCTCAGTACAGATTTATGAAGTAGACATTGTATATATCTGCTAAGAAAGACTGTACACTTAGTGACTGCACACAGAAGTCAAGGGACTTCTTAGAGGGACAGAACAAAATAAATAGAGACAGAAAGAAACTTGCATTATGAGACAAAAAAACGGTAAGATGCACAGATGCCCATTAAACTATTTTATGATACTTTCAAGATTGGATTTATTTTTATTTTTTGTTTTAAAGGCCTGCTCTCACTCTATCCAGCCTCGAACTCATAACCTAGGTAATCTCAAAAATCAGTGATTCTCTGTCTCTCCCCTTACTTGTGCTGGGATTGCATGTGTGAACCACTGAACTCTGGTCATAACTTTGAAAATAAGTAAAAGTTAAAAAAAACTGAGTAAAAGTTGTTGGTGAGTATCTGAAGCAGATTAATTCTATTTGCATGGCAGCCTTACCAAGAAGAGAACCTTTGTGGCTCTTCTCATTCAGGTCTTTCTGCCATGAAAGAAATGAACAAAATAACTCGCTTAGAATTACTTTCTTGTGAAAAGACAAATGAAGTGAATTGAGGTGTGCTCATGAGTTTCTACGATATTTATCCAGAATCAAACCTGACTGCAATGATGTTCTCAGAGACCATATGACAGCACTTGTTCCAAGGTGAAAAGAGTTTTGAGGATGTGGTAGCAACAGAATAAGACATTATTTACTTATGACATTCCTGAATTTATTAATTCTAATGACATGTTATATCCTTGGATTTGGATTTTAAAATAAAAAGTAGTATTTTTTTCTCAGTAATATTAAAAGAAAAAGTATATCAAACAAAAAATTGAAAACCATTTTCAGTTTTTGTTTATAATGATGAAAATAAAACTGGAAGGAACATGGACAACATTAACTCTAAGAACCAAGAAAATATAATAGTCATTCCCAAAAGAAAATTTACATTTTTTTAAATGTAAGAACTAGGATATAATACTTTCAACTTTTTCCCTACAGCTTAGATGTGTAAATTTGACTATATGACATTGAATTTGTAAAGATGGATATATTCAATAACAAAATGGGCTTGCTTATATCTTATTTTTACATAAATAATTTCATAGATTTATGCTCCCATTCCTTGAATGCATTTATTCACAGTGTACATTTTTGTAAACATAATAATGTTGCCATTTATTCAGAACATATTGTGTATATATAGTAAATTTAAATATGTTAAGGTTTGGCACTTACTTGTAAGCTACATTAATAAAAAATGAAAATTCCAAGGTCGTGTGGTTTTGAAAAGCTAGAAGACCCATGTTTCCCCCCACCCCTTTGGTTTTTCAAGATAGGGTTTCTCTGTGTAGCTGTGACTGTCCTGGAACTCATGTTGTAGACCATGTTTGCCTCAAACTCAGAGATTCTCCTGCCTCTGACTCCCTGGTGGGAAATTTAAAAATGTGTGCCACCACTGCCCAGCAAAAGACCCAAATATTTTAAGGCAGAGATTTCTAAATTCAAGTCATGTCATTTCCCTTCGTGTGTACATAAATCATATTCTATCAGACAACATAGTTTCTTCTCTCTATTCTTGCGCATGTGATAATGGCTGAATGAAAGAAAAACAAAATATGAAAGAAAAAATGAAAAAAAAATTAAAAAGAGAGATAGAAAAAGAGGGAGAACGGGAGGAAAGAAGAAAGGGAGAAAAAAAGAATGATGAGGTTCATAGTGTTCCAGTGTTCTTTTGGAAGTCTACCCATTTATATATAAAAAAATAGTCTTAGTGTTTCCAAGTAAAATAATTTTTGAAAAATACATTTGGCTACTGGTTAGGGTGGGATAACACTCAAGACAAGCAGGTGACTTTCTTCCACAATGGACAATTTGGGGCTTTTCAGTGTGGGAAAGAAAAGAAACAATGACTCCCTCTGAGCTAATCAGTATCAACTCCGAGGCTTCGATCATCTCACACATCCATGAAGCATCTCCCCCATGTTGCAACCAGGTCTTCTTCAGATTTGTTTTACAGCAGCTATGCAGTTCAGCAACCATTCATATCTCCAACAATTGTATCACATGAATGGAATCTAATGAAACACTGAAATGATGTATAGGTGTGTGTGTGTGTGTGTGTGTGTGTGTTTATCTTTCTCAAAAGTTAAAATTTGTTTCTGAAAATATATTACAATATTCTTTCTTATTCCACTGAAAACATTTTGATTTGGTGGCAGACTCTAAACGCTCTGCCTAACTGAGTCCCTGAGGAAAAAAAAAACCATAATCCTAATATTGTCCAGTTTGTCCCTTCAATGTTCACATGTCTCCTGGAAACAGCCGGTCAAGCACTCATGTTTCCTGTCCGTAAATAGATTGTTTTCAAAGAAGAAATTCTAAACTTATGTTCCACAATCTAGAAGCAGGCTGCTAGTGCAGACTTATAATAATTCACATCAACAACGAATCTGCCCTGCTAACAAGACAGCATGTTCTCTACAGCCTTGGCCTTCGTTTACTGTTCCTGGGTTACAGTGGTGATCAGCTTTTTCCATAATTTTTTCTTGGTTCTTATCCAATATCCAATATACATGGTAGTGTCTCATAACGTATCACATACTCACAATACTTAGTAGTTCATGATATCTAGATAGCTCATAGTTAAATGTACAGATATTTGAAAATATAGGTATTGATAGTATTGTTGAAGAAACAACCAAATTTGAAAGAGGTATTATTGAATTAGTTTGTGTGACTTAAAGATGAAGAGACATAATGTTATGGGAGTCTCAACTATCAACTTACTTTAAGTTCTGGTTAAAATGTCCAACTTTCATTATCAATTATGTTCCTGAATTTACAATGTGAAACATTTGCTTTCCTGAGTCTATCATAAAAAAACAACAATAAAAAAATCAAATCAAAACAAACAAAACAAAACAAAAAACAGTGACTACGATTAGGACCTAGTATGTGAAAATAGTTTTAAACAGTCAGTGTAGGTGCCAGGAGCTGCAACAGAACCAGGAAGACATCACTGCTCAGAAACACTAGCAATGAGATCCAGCAAGAAATGAGATAGTGAGGGCTTTCTCTGCTGGAGGCCATGCTTGTCTATTTTAAAAGTAAAATTAAATGTGATCTCAGGCAAGTTTATTTCAGCAAATCTCAAACAGTGACTATGTAATGTGTGTTGTTTCCTTAAATTACTTAAGTTTTGTGAATTTCCACTGGCGAACCATGCAAGCCACAAGCGTGTAACTGAACAGCGCTCTTGAGCGAGCGCCATTGTTCTTCCTATTTTTGTTAACTTCAGTGTGCTATAAAGGGTTTTAGCAAACTTGAGGAAACCAAGAGGTCCTAAAAGGAAGATTGTTAAGTTTCTATATTTAAATACACTGTAAAATAGAGTTTGCTTGGACAGCCAGCTTCTCACACTGGCACAAATGGGGAAAGGATATTTTCTTCACAACTTACACTGTTTTCGGATTTGACTCATAAAACTAGTATAGCTTGATTTGTAATTACTAATATGAATTATCTTTGTTCTAGTTTTTCCTCTATTAAGTATCATAAATACAAACTGTTCTTACTAGGAAAGTTACATTTACTTATTTCGATTTTAAATTCATGTACTAGATTTACATTTCAAATCATTTTTCAAAATTTAAGTATATTAATGTAATAATATGAAAAAATCCCAAATACTGCATGTTAAATAACATTGTTTTTATAGCAGATAAAAAGAAATATATTCTTTTAAGAAAACTGTTTAATAAATGATGCATAAAAAGAATAAGAGACTGTTGGAAGATTTTTGAATGTTAGGAATCAACTGGTGGGGGAAAAGTAGCACTTGAATTGATTATTAATTCAAAAGCTTATCCAGCAGACAGATGTATGGAGGGCTACCTATAAATAAGGAAGATAGTTTTTTTTTGTAGCTAAAATAACTTTTAGGTCAAAGAAGAACTTTAATTTTTTTACAGCTTAGTAAAAAGCTTACATTTGAAGCTAAAACTTGGGAAATTGCTTAAACTTTTTCCATTTAAAAAATTTCTCCTATTTACATGAGAGGAGTACCAGGCTTACACAGCGGAGTTAGTAATCTAGCCAGCCTGCATACCATTCTACCATTGGCATAGAAATAGAAATCCAAACAATAAAATTAAAAGTAACAAGTACCATGTTCTTCTTACCTCTGGGCCTTGTTTACTGCTGCTGGTCTGTCTGCTCCCTCCGTGTTTGCCCCAGCAGCACCACCGAGAGCTCTGGTTTCTGCCAGCCTCTCTTCACAAGTGGCAAAAGCATAGAACTTTTGCTCTGCAAAGGGATAGTGCACAAAAAGAGGAAGTTGCAAAATACCAGTCACTACACTTTACAAATTCTACAGAGAAGAGAAATTATTCACGAGGCCCTCATAATCATGGAAGCTGAACTGTAATTTGCACATCCATTCATATGTAATTAATATATATATGCATATTTATTTAAAAATTTAGAGAAGTCGAGTCATTGAAGTTTATATTCGGTCAAGTAGTGCTCACTTGTATAAGGAAAAAGCTGCTTCAGGCTATAATGATACTTACAGAAACACACAACCAGAAAAAAATGCTGTTCTGTGTAAGAAAGGGTAGAGCCGACACAAGGCACATAAGCTTGCTTTGATAGATCTAATTAATTTGAAGTTATTGGAATATGACCCAAGCACTAATTTGACTACTGGAGAAAGAAAGTGGGGGAGGAAGAGAGGGGGGAGGGGGAGAGAGAGAGAGAGTGTGTGTGTGTGTGTGTGTGTGTGTGTGAGAGAGAGAGAGAGAGAGAGAGAGAGAGAGAGAGAGTAAGATAGCACACTTTCCCAGAACTGGGGTAGTGGTTCTTTACCTGTAAGTCTTAAACTTCCTTTCTCATGGCAGTGGTCTGTTACATGTAGATAAAGCAAGCACTGCAGAAATGAAACCGCTACTTGTCCACAATCTCTCACAACTTCAGCCACAAGAGTGAAAAACAGGCACAGGTCTTGTGTCGCTGAACATGTCGATGGCTGAGCTCCTTACCAGTAAGGAGAGCAGACGGAAAGACCTGAGAGAAGAGGGCTGAAGAAAGACATGTTTACAAATGTTGGGAAGGGCTAACCAAAGTATAAGCTATAGACAACTTCCACAAAAGTCTCTTTATGCAGATGGTTGTGCATGTGTATTTCATATATACATACGTGTTCTCTCAGGTTCACGGTCTGACAGATCATATAAGTCAATGGTAGCCAACAGGCAGCACTTCTGCCCGCCTTTGCTTGCTTACTGGGGAAGAGAAGGGGGTGGATTGCAAGAATAACACATAAATTATGCAAAGCTTCAGGCACTGTAAGAACCACTTTCTGAACTTTGGAAACCACTGTGTGGAGGGCATCTTACTAAACTTTTTCTCTCTCTCTCTTTTATTTTTTAATTTTTTTGGTCTTTAAAAGTAATTTCCTTTCTTTGTATTGTAATATAATTATATCATTTCCACCTTCTGTTTCTTCCCACCAAACCCTCCCATATCCCCTCTTCACTATTAATCAAGTTCATAGTCTCTTTGTTAATGCATATATATATGTTTTTATTAACATATTTTCATGAGTACTTAGGTATTACCTGCATAATATTACTTGAATGCTTTCAGTGCTGATGATTTGGTATTAGATGACCAATTGATGTGCTCTTGCCTGGGAAAGGCTATTCCTCTTGCTGCCAGTATTCCTTAGTCGCCTGTAGTTCTTTGTGTAGGGTGGTAGTGGATTACCTACAATATAACCCTGCAACTATGGCTCGAAGACCCTTGCAGAAGATAGCAGAAAGAATGTGAGGGTGAGAGGATCGGGGAATTTGCTGTGAGATTGTCTCCTAGGAATGTAAAATGCTAAGCCCATAAAGTCTCAATAAGATGACTACCAAAACACGTACAACAAAAACAATAACAGATATGCCAGCAGGGATTGGAGGAAAGCCCAAGAGGCCTCACTCAACCCCACACCCTAAGCTTTTTATTTAACTGTGTGGCCAAAGGACTGATGATGGGGAATGATTTAAAATGGAAGCATTTTGCATTTGACTCACACACGTATTTGATGCGAATTGGCAAGAAGTAGAATCGAATAAACCAAGCTAAGAGAACTGCCTGCAGTGAGATACCACAAAAAGAAACCCAAACCAAAAACGCCAAACCATAACAACCTAAGTGTCATCATTCAAAATTTGGTTTGAATTCTTCAGGGACTTCCTGGCAGAATCGTCCATGAAGCAAATGCCACTGATGTGACTAGGGCCCACTCTCACCTCCTCAGCACCCGTGGGTGCACTAGTAGCCCTTCCTCTGTCGTTTTCCTATCTAATGTTTCAGCTACAAGGGCCCAACCACAGTCCAAAAACAGTTCGTGAAAAATTACAGAAATGATACATAATTTTTCGTTGCCAGAATTCTGTAGCATGATCAAAAAAAAATCCCAGCCCCTTGTGTAGAACATGACTCACTTGAGTGTCCAGTGGACCCACATTGGGGTTGCTAACCCCCATAGTCAGTATTACCCATTTATGTGATCAGCATCCCGTCACATTGTCTTATGGCCTACCCTGAAGTCACCCTATTTTACTTAACCACGACCCCAGCATTCTAGAACAGTGATGCTCTACCCACTTTAAAATACCAAAGAGAAGACGGGAAGTATTCCCTCAAATGGAAAAGGTGAACGTTCTTGGCAATTCAGGAAGACGATAGATCTCATGGTGGCATAGGTAAGGTTCATGTAAGGAGAAAGAAAACATTGGCAAGCGTGGGGAGATTTTGGCCTCTGCTGTGGGGAGATCTTGAACTGCAACCCTGAAGGTAAGTTCGTGGACTACGGCAATCACCTCCCTTTTCATCAGCACGAGAATCCCCTTTGTCTGAGAGGCTGGTGTCCGTGCTTCTCCAACGAGAACTTTATTTTGGCAACTGTGCTCGAGCTTCTGCCAGCTTCACAACTTCACGACTGACCTGACCCAACCTATTGCTCTCTTTTCCTTCCTCTGAAATGTTCGAGGTCCTTGCCGACACTAATTCTCCTCGAGTCCTCATCTCTTTCTGTATTTGCCTCAAACTGGAACACAGATCTCACCATCTTAGCCATTTCATGTGCACAGTTCGCAGCCATCAACTACAACCTCACTGCAGAACGCCGGCACCATCAGCCCCCAGGACTTTCTCGTCCATCTATACCGATGGATAGTATAGATCCATCAGTGCTCATTCAGCAACCTCCCCCTGCTCCCTCCCTGTTCTCCCTAGCAACCACCATCTACTTCCAGAATTTGACTACTCTAGATAGCACAGGTAAATGAACACATGTGGCCTTTGTCCCCCCATGCCTGGCTTATTTCATTAAGGTCCATAAGTTTCTACTATCTGTCCAAGCTATGTCTCCTTTTCCAGGCTGAACACTGTTCTGTTGTATGCATAGGCCACATTTTATTCCTCGTCAGGGAACGGTTGAGTTGTTTCTTCCGTGGGCTGTTGTGGATGATGCTACTGTAAACAATACTGTGCACACATCTTTTGGAGTCTCTGCTTCCTGGTCTTTTGGCTATGCAACCTCAAAAATGTACGTGGTGCGACAAAGCCGGGGTTAGCATTTGGAGGGAGTGGCAGATTACTAAGTCCCCCCCCCCCCGTGTCATACTTTCTCCTTCTGCATTTGGATCCCTGCTTCCTCTATTCACCAAGACTCCTTGCTAGGCAGGAAATGAGCTCCGTGTGTTACCAAGCTGCAACGACATTTAAGCCCTCTCTTGCCATCTTTTCTCAGCACATGCCCTCTACTGACCGCTTCCTCTCCCTGGACTTGCTTTCTGAGCTCCAGTTCTGGGCTTCCCCATCACCTCCTCTGACCGAGCATCAGCTTTGGCAGGGTACCACCTAGATTCTGCTTTTTCTTGGAGTTGGGTCTGGTAGATCTCTTCATTCCACTGTCTCCTTAACACATGTTCACTTGAAGTCTCTGTTAACATAGACTAACCAATGCTAAATCTTTTAGTTCAAATGTATGTTTTCCTGAAGAAGTTCTGATATAGTGAAGTCCCAGACCGTGTTTCGCTGTGATATGGAGGGGAAAGATGAGAGATCGGCCTCTACTGTCCGTTAAGTCTGACAAATCCACCATCATTTCTGTGTCATTTTGTCCTCTGTAAGCAGCCCTCAGATGTTCACCTAAAATGTTATTGAAGATTACAAAACAAAGTTCTTTCTTAAGAACCGTAGTATAACATGAATACAATAGCAACATCCATTAGAATTTTCCCCAATGTTGTTTTTCTACACATGATGTAAGCACTATGTATATTTTTGGTTGATGGTCATAGCATCCCAAACATACCCTATCTCATCTAATGCATATATCTGATCCTCTGGTTCCTATAAAATGATATCTAGCTATATAATTTTAACATATACAAAATTAAATTGTTTTGTGAGTCTATTTAAAGTTCCATAAAACATCACTGCATATTTTCTCATTGTGTCTTTTAAAACATAATTTCTAAGATTGTGGGTGTAGCTTCCTCCCTAGTGCTAGGATTACCAGTTCATGTTCCTGTACGTGGGATCTTATATTGCCCTAGACATACTTTCGAAATAATTTATATATGAATTTCTTCATTGACTGAATTTTACAGTTCAAAACAGTGTCACAAAAACAGCATTATGAAGGCCTCCCTACCAAAATCCTCAATTCTTTCTTCCAAGAAGATATAAGAAATAGGACTAGTTGTCCCTGCTAAATCACCTTCTCATAAAAGACTTTAAAGTGTAAACTGTCATCATTTTTAGATCGTCCATGCTGTTGCTAATATTTGATAAAATCAAATATTAAAGATTTGTCACTCTTGGGTAAAGAAAGGATGTCTTAATATATTTTAGTTTGTATTTCTAATTAAAATAGTAGAAAACATTTTAATGTTGCAGTCTTTATTGCTACTGATTGCTATTTCATAAATGCTCATTGGTGGACTTCGCTTGCTTTTGTCTTGGGTAGTTGGCTGATTCTTACTAACTTGCAGGGTTGGCAGAGCGTTCCATTTTAGCGTGTTGTCGTCCCTTTCAGATGCTGCTGCAATCATTTCTGCATCTCCTTTAGGGTTTTCTTTCTCACCACGGGAACCATTTGAGACGATCCTCATATTCCTTGATAATGCTCATGACTTCTGGCACAAGATACTTGGGTTCATTTTGTATATTATCTACCCCAGACTTAAAGTTATTCATTTCTCTAAAGAACCATGGCGTCTTTTAGTAAAGTAGGATTTCAGGCAACTACAATTAAACTCCTGTGCAACTTATTACTAACTGGGTAATTGACAGCATTTGGAATAAATTTTGTTTATTTATTAAATCAATAAAAATTGCCTTGGGGTTCAGAGTAGTCGTTTACTAGTAAAAAGCTTGTACTGCTTTTGCAGAAGATCCATATTTAATTTCCAGACCCTGTGTTGGATACCTCATAATTATCTGCAACCTGCAACTCCAACTCCAGTTAGAGCTGGTACATCTAACTTTTGCAGACACTTATACTCATATATACATACGCACAAGCAGTCTCAAAAACACAAGCAGTCACAAATACACACATTCATAATTTAAAATAAAAAATGAATATATAAATTATTTTAATTTCTTTTATATGCCAAGCAATCCATTCTTTAAAATCATATGTGTATGCACACATAATCATACATACACATCTCTG